GGGGTTCCCCCATTGTTTGGCTCAGAACCACTCAGTCACACACACATGTGGTTGTAAGAATATGAGCAATAGTGCAAATAGATACACTTTAAGAAAAAAAATCATACTGTATTCGCTAAAATTGGATATAAATAGGATAGAAAACGAATTTGAGAAAATCAGATAATATTGAAGAAATATAGTTTATATAATACATGAGAGAGTTTATTATATATGTTTGTTGTATACTAAAAACTAAGTTTATATATACGGATCATCAAAATTAACTTCAAATCTAATAATCTATGAATTAAAACAATTGCAAAATATATATTCAGATATTTCAGATATGAATCTAGGTATTTCAATATATATCCGCATTCATAGCCATATCTATCGGATATAGATGTTTAAAGCCTATTTGTCTCCACCAAAGTAGACATGAAGTAGCAGAACTATAGAAAATAGAGCATACTTTTGCTATTTCTAAGCAAAAAAATTGTTTGTTTCTTTGGGAAGGTCACTTCTAGTACCTTCTAAAATGATGATTCGAGCCATATAGCATTTATGTGGCATCTTACGTCCTAAATATTTTTCTTTCAATTCTCTCAAATCTGGAAAGTACCTACACAGTAGCCGAAATATGCACCACTTTAGAAATAAACTTAGTTTTTTAAGTCATATGAGTATTCCTTACTCTAAATAATAAATGAAATCTCAAAAGATCATTTACCTCTCTTCTTAATGTAATTTCCAATTGTTATCAAAGAAAGAAAAAGAAAAAGAAAAAAGAAAAAAAGCAAACAAAAAGAAGAAGTGTAAAACAAATTTAATGGTACTACTTCAGCTAGTTCTTACTTCAAAATTTGTGAATTACTTTTTAATTTTAATACTTGCAAATTGCAATAATGCAGACGGGCTCCACATCATCCTACCTATCGAGCGCACAACTTCTCAGAACACCCTGCGTTGTGCTTGGGTGTTGTGAAGCATTGAGATGAGATAAAGGGGTCAGTTTGAACATTTTTCTGCTCTCTTCCATGGTCCAGATCTCACCTCACGGAGAGCTGTTCCGATAAAAAGTGACGTCGTGTATATCTCTCGATTTGTCCCGGACTCCCGGGATAGTATCCGGATTTTTTTAAGAGTCATGCTAAAAGGATCCAAATTCATAAGATGCATGGAGCAATAGGAGAGGGAACAACTCAGCTGTCCTCTCATCTGTCCCATGAATTTGGGTGCTTAATCCCCATCCGGAACCCAACAACACAAGTCACGAGAAGAGCACCCCCGTCACGGGCAGCAGCTGAATGGATAGTTGGATACCCGTGCACCTTCGAGACTGAAAAAATGATGATCCGAAACCCGATAACAAAACCAGCAAACTACTTAAAAGCTCTCACTTCAATCTCCCACTCCAAACTCCCCCCCTCCCCCTTCCCAAAATGTCCACCGCCGTCTCCTCCCTCCTCTTCCCACTCTACCCCTCTCTTCCCATTATACCCCCATCATCCTCTCTCTCCCCCCTCTTCTCCTCCCCTAAAACCCTAGCTAAACGCTACCTCTCCCTCTCTCGATCCAAAACCCACAATCTCCTCCTCCCTCCTCGCGCCATCGCCGATCACAGCGACGCTGCATCAGTCGCCATCGACAACGACCTCTCCGCCGATTCAACCGCATTCGTCGTCCCCTCTCTCTCCCCCCTCTTCTCCTCCCCTAAAACCCTAGCTAAACGCTACCTCTCCCTCTCTCGATCCAAAACCCACAATCTCCTCCTCCCTCCTCGCGCCATCGCCGATCACAGCGACGCTGCATCAGTCGCCATCGACAACGACCTCTCCGCCGATTCAACCGCATTCGTCGTCCGCGCTCGCAACCGGATCGGCCTCCTCCAGGTCATCACCAGCGTCTTCAACCTTCTCGGCCTCCGCATTGACCGCGCCTCCGTCGAGATTGATGGAGAGTTCTTTATCAATAAGTTCTTTGTTGTTGATTCGAAAGGAGGGAAGATTGAGAAGAGGGAGGATCTGGAGCGGATCGAGCGAGCGATTAGGGATGCGCTGGATGAAGGTGAGGGTGAGGCTGGAGCTGCGAGGCTGGGATCGAGGGGGATTGTGATGAGGAAGGCGGGCCTAGGGTTTGAGTTTGGAGACAGGAAAGCGAAGGCTGAGAGGATGCTCGAGCTCATGGATGGATTCTTGAAGAACGATCCGGTTAGCTTGCAGAAGGATATTTTGGATCACGTGGAGTATACAGTTGCCAGATCGAGGTTTAGCTTTGATGATTTCGAGGCTTACCAGGTAAATTCTCTTCTTTTAACACTTAACTAGTTGAATTATCTTCAAGCAAGCGGTAGCTTAAGTTTTGATTTGGCTCTGCCAGCCTGCAGCTCTTCATGATTGTTGAAATTATCTTCAAATGCTGTTTTTATTAACTCAGCAGTCAAATTTTTCATGTGATAATCTACGGTTTGTTTGTGATTATATTGTGATTTACCGATATTTTTAATAGTTATAGGTTCTACTAAGATACAACTGACTCATCTATGATAGTGCTGATTTTATTGTTTTTGTTGCAATCAGCGTGCTGATTTTTATTTTCTGTTTCACGTAATGGAGCTCACAATTTGTATTGAAATTATGGGAATTGTCTTTTGATTGAGACCATGCTTTATGTGTTATAGTCTCATGTAACTGATAGGGAGCACTTAAGGACTTGTAGTGATCCATTTTCTACTTTGCACCTTTCACCTTTGACAATTGTACTGATACAGAAAAAATCTCTGCTCTCATAACATTTGCAGGCCTTGTCGCATAGTGTACGAGACCGTCTTATTGAGAGATGGCATGACACTCATCAATACTTCAAGAGAAAAGACCCGAAAAGGCTTTACTTCCTTTCTCTGGAGTTTCTTATGGGTATCAGCATTTTGCACTAAGTTGCTTGTTTGTTTCCTTCTTACTTTTAGCTTTTCATATCAAGATTGAGTATTTTGTCCTCTGCATTGTTGCAATGCTTTCTGGAAACTGCTGAAAACAATCACATTTTCATTTTGTTTTGCCCTTCTATAAGCTATTCGTAACATGATCACTGACTTGCTCGTTTTTGTTACGCTGTCATAAAATAGCCCACCGTTTATTAATATTTAATAGGTTTTTCTTCATTCAGTTGTTGATAGCATACCCTTTTTTAATCCCCCTTTAGCATTTTTCTTTCAACCCCCAATTTCATTGTATCCTGGCATACCTGTTTTGATTCCACGCGCCAAAACATTCTTGGTAATCTTATTCTGGATACTGATGAATGCTTTGAGGCCTCAACATTGTTTATCTTGTTCTGGACACTGATATAAAAAATAATCAGTAATCTCATTCTGGACACTGATGAATGCTCCAGTGTTTTCTGGAATTACAGGTTATAATCCCCATTCGGGGTACTCATCAGTCCATAGGAAGCTAAAGACATTGTAAAATGTAGACTATGTTCTATGGCCTTTAATGATTGAAACTGTTGGAAATGCTTTTTCCCCCTGTTGAGATGATGATATATTGTGTTTCTATATTTTTCAGGGCGTTCTTTATCGAACAGTGTTATTAACTTAGGTATACGGGACCAGTATGCAGATGCTTTAACCCAGCTTGGCTTTGAGTTCGAAGTATTGGCTGAGCAGGTTAGAAAGACCTCCAATACTTGTTATGATACAATATTATTTTATATGGTATATTAGTTGGCGGACGAATGTACTCTATATGTTGCTTGGTGTGCTCAAAATCATTAACTTCTACATTCATGCATGTTGCAGCTGATAAATTATCAGGGATTCCACTAATCATGTAATTACGTGGATACAGTGTCTATGCATCTATGTTCATACAAATTTGGTGCTTTAATTTTCTCTTGTACCTTTATAGAATCCAGCGTGTCGACGTTACCTTGGTATATACTACTGTCTTTGTAGTTAACAATCAGAAAACAAGCCTTTTAAATTGAAGTCGTATTGTTATCAACTTATCATAAAAAATTGAAAGTGAGCTTAAGAGAGCTAAAAAAAATTTACTCACTTTACTTTTTGTCTTTAAACATTTTAGATGATGTAGATTAACTTGAATGTAGTGAATCTCTAATTTGTATAGAGAAGATTTCCTTTTTTAATATTTTCTATGTTTTCATAAGCTATTAGTTTATATTCCAAAGCTGTGGTGGAGTGTCAATTGATGAGGGGGGTTCTCAAGGGTTCCAATATTTAGGCATGTTTAGTGATAGATATTTTTGACTCTGTTTCACTGTTGTGAAAATTTGTGGGGATCTGCTCCTAAATTTTAAACTAACACTCTTTGTGTTTCTTAACCTGAGGGATTCATCTATGCCCCAGCAGCAATGAAAAGTTGCAAAATGGAATTTTTGGTAACCAGTAGAAAAGTAGAAATGGATTATCATCATTAAAAGGAGTAGCCGATAGCATCAGCACCTTATAGATGATAATTAAAATTTAAAGCATAATTTGCTACTTAATTGTCATCACATGCGTTCCACATGGTTTCATGCAATATTATAAGGTGGGATGTGGGAGATGCACTGCAGCATAATGATGTACATAAAATAATGAAATGTCTTATTAATCGTGTGGCCTTGCATTTCATTTGCTCATTCTTGAAGTTTAAACAATGAGTTTCTTTAAATGGTGGACTGCATCTCATATAACTTAATTCTTTTTAAACTGTTGTGGGGCACCAATTGATGAGGGGAAAAAATGACAGTTATTTCTCTGGTTAAGTTTCCTCCTCTATTAGTTGGCAATTCAATTTCCTCATGCGTGCTAAATGGTTCAATTTACTCCAAGGAAGGAGATGCAGCGCTAGGTAATGGTGGTCTTGCGCGTCTTTCTGCATGTCAGATGGATTCTTTAGCCACATTGGACTTTCCTGCTTGGGGGTAAGCTTATCTCTTGTCTTGTTAAACATTCTTGGCGGTGATCTGGTGGGTTATGGATATATGTGTTGTGGATAAATTCATGGATTATGATACAAAACTCGGCATTATGACATTTTTAGTTCCTTTTATTGAGTGAATGTGGTATTGGTCCAAAAGGATGCACACCTGTAGTTCTCAGGAAACATTCTGAGTTTTTTTACTATAAATGTAGCACACAACAACTGAATACATAGTAATAAATGATTGATTATTAGGTGAGTGGAGTTACTTTTAAAAGTTAATCAAAAGGATTCATCTCGCAGTTATGGTTTACGTTATCAATATGGGCTGTTCCGCCAGATCATATTGAATGGATTTCAGCATGAACAACCTGACTATTGGCTGAACTTTGGAAACCCATGGGAAATCGAACGTGTTCATGTTTCTTATGCTGTTAATGTATGCAAATTAATCTCATTTTCTTATTTATTTCATCTTATATTGTTGGATTTACAGTTCCTTTTTTTGATGTTCCCATGTATGCATTAGTTCTATGGGTCTGTTGAAGAAAAGCATTTCAATGGCAACAAGTTCAAAGTTTGGATTCCTGGAGAGACGGTACTGTGAGATTCATGGTTTTTGCTATACCATAATTCCTCATTTTTGGAATATCAGAATCTTTTCCCGACTCCAACCTACTAAAATTTTGATGTTTTCAGTTCTAATTCATTTCAATTTGATAGGTTGAGGCTGTTGCTTATGACAACCCAATACCAGGTTATGGGACAAGAAATACTATCAATTTGCGTTTATGGGCAGCTAAACCTAATGGCCAGTATGATATGGTATTCAGTGATATTTATTTTGTTTATAGATATTTATTGTTTGTTTATAGAATTTCAGTACAGATAGCTGTTATTTGAGCATTTCTTCTACTTGTGTATAAAATTTAGCTTGTTAAAGCTCAGCACTTTGTTATAACTTATAAACCATGAGTAATAGGTATATGCTTAAAACAGATAAGACATGATGTTGTAACGAATGGAGAAAAAAGAAGTCCATGTTAAATATTGATTAATGTATTGTCTCAAGCATGAGAATTCTAGCTACATTTTAGGGAAAACACTACATAAGGTTGGTTAAAAAAGACTGGGGCATGGACATGTTAAGATCAGAAAATGACACTGAACTTGTAGGATAGTTGCCTTCAAAATTGTGACATATTTAAAGAGCGTTGATGTAAAACTAGAAGGAAATTCCTGCTTTACTATCATCACTTCAGCTGAAATAGAATATAAAATTACCTAAAACTAGTCATGATTACTTAGGATGAGAAGAGAAATGGGATTCACGTAGTTGTTTTAGGACAAAGGCTCTGTTATCACTGTTGCTCAGTGATTTTTATGCTGCAGGAAATTTGAAATTCTCCCATTTTCACCTGCTATATTTCTTGTATGCATGATCTGTGGATTCACCTATTTGTTGTCTTTGCATACTTGTATCATGGCATCCGGATTAAACTGTTATAGATCTTTGTATCACATCTTCTTTATCTTAAATGTTTTCCTTCTTGGGCAAATTCACTACTTTATGCAAATTGGATTATGGTTCTAAGATATATAATTTTAGGACAACTATGAGGTTACAATGTTTAACTATGAAATTTTCTCACAGGAGGCTTTTAACACTGGAGATTACATCAACGCAGTTATTACCAGCCAGCGAGCTGAAACAATTAGCAGCGTACTCTATCCTGATGACCGGTCTTATCAGGTATATTCTGCACTTTGTCTGCACTGTAATGCATGATGCCTCCTCTTTCTTCCCCATATTGTGATGAACCTCTTACCTTCATATTGTGTTTGTTTTATGATTTTTCTTGACATTGTTTTGTGTTCATATAGCTAACTCGGGAAGATCTGGGATGAGTGTTTGCTTATATATATATATATATATATATATAAATATTTTGTACTGTAGATTTTCTATGGTATTGTATTGGTTATGATTACTTCGCTGTTGTAACTCAGTTGTGTGTCTGAATAGTAGGGCAAGGAACTAAGGTTGAAGCAACAGTACTTTTTCGTCTCAGCTTCTCTTCAAGACATCATTCGGAGATATAAAGATTCTCATAGTAACTTCGATCAATTTCCTGACAAGGTTCTTTATTTATATGTTATTGGAATTTAGCTTTTGTTTTATATTGCTTCTATACAAGACTACTATACTACATGTTACACTCACGTCAGCTGCCAGTACCTTGCAGGTGGCACTGCAACTGAATGATACTCACCCCTCCCTCGCAATTCCTGAGCTTATGAGGGTTCTTATTGATGAAGAACTTCTCAAATGGCAAGAGGCGTGGGACATCGCTTGCAAAGTCTTTTCCTTCACTGCCCACACAGTAGCTCCAGACGGATTAGAAAAAATCCCAGTTGAGCTGCTGAGTAACCTTCTTCCACGACATTTGCAAGTGAGTTCCAAATAAGTTTCTATGTATTGTGGCTTTCAGCAGCCTATTTTGATTCACCACGGTTTCCAAGGCAGCATAAGATTTGACGGCTGCTATCTATTCATTTCCTGTATATCTTTAACTTGCAAACTGTGTATGCTGTGTGTTGCTAAGCGAGGAAAGTGGCAAGAATTCCCAAAAAATCAAAACAATCCTTAAATAATTACTTCATTAAACTAAAAGATTGAAGCCTACTCGATAGGTTTCTTGTTAAAAGCATGGTGAAACTTATGTGAAAGAGAAATCTGAACTATATCTTTTTTGTACTGAGAAGCCTTCAATATTCAGTTCTTTCTGTAAAAGAACCTAGGCCTAAAACAAAGGCATGGCACACAATTTTTGCCATATCCGTCACTTTAAATTTGCTTAGATTTTGTTTAGTAGGCCCTCGTATATGTAGTCACTTTTTTCTCTGTATCAGTTGTAATTTCTTAGAGTTTCAGGTTGTTGCTGCCTTACTTATAGCTTTCTATTAATGTAACCTCACTAAGTTTCTTGATTGCTTCTTTTCAACTTCTTGTATTAGTGATGACTTGCTAAAACACTCAAGCTATATCAATAATATATTAGTACAGATATTATTATAAAATGTGCTTGGCTTTTTATCATCTTCACCAGAAATTAATTTCTTTCTCTTTGTTTTTTTTTTAATTTTTACTGAAACTGTTCTTTATCAAGTCTAGACACTAAAGACAGTGAAATTTGCATTATTCATAAACATTTGTCCAACATATATGCAATAAGTAAATTCTTGACGGCCTTGTTCATCTTTTCAGATAATATATGATATAAACTTCTTGTTTGTGGAGGAGCTTAAAAAGCATTTTGGCCTTGAATACGACAGGCTCTCCCGAATGTCGATTGTTGAAGAAGGTGCTGTAAAGGTACTATAAACTTCCTTACTTAGTTTTGATTGTATGTTTCTGTGTTATATGGTTTCGTATAATCTTAATCTATACTTATCTATTATTTTACTCAGATAGCTGCATGGCAGAAGTGATGCTAGGTTTCTTTATAATTTGGTTCCTCATCAGTTGGGTGGTTTTATTGCTTTTGAAGTTTCTTTAATTCGATGCAATGAAAGTCTTAAAATTTTCTTTGTACTGTGTATCCTGCAGAGTATTCGGATGGCTAATCTGTCGCTTGTCTGCTGTCATACTGTTGATGGTGTTTCTCGTGCTCATTTAGATATATTGAAGGCAAGAGTGTTCAAGGTAATTTTCTTTTACAGGTTAAGTGTTTGTTTTGGGATTCACAGCTTAAGCTTATCAGCTAAAATTCTCAGGCACACTAAAATTAGTTTCTGGATTTCATAAGTTCTTGAGTTGGGTTTGCAAATTTGGATGCACACACACACACAGACACACACATCTGTGCGCGTGGGTTGGGTGCGTGCGTGTACATTACATCTCGTCGTATCTGGTTCTGATTCTTACATAAAGGCAATTAGCCACATCCACGCACCATACATACACACAAACATGCATGTATCTGTGTGCGTGTGCGGGGGTTGGGTGCGTGCATGTACATTACATCTCATCATATCTGGTTCTGATTCTTGTATAAAGGCAATTAGCCTTTAGTACTGTGGTAAGCTCATTTCACTGTATGTAACAGCTCCACCCAATCTGCTGAAGGTGATTAGTGTACAGCCACATATAATTTAGTGTCCAGCACACCTTCAAAAAAAATTTTGACAAGATTTTTTTCTGGATGCATGTTGGATCATTTCTTTTGTCTTCTCCTGTTTGTAGTTATCTTAAAGAAATTTCACGATGTAATTTTTTTACTCTTAATTTAATTTTATTATTGTTGAAATCAAAATGCATAGGGAGAAATTTGAGTTACTCAACGCATGTGATATATATATATGACAGGATTTTTATGAGCTTTGGCCTCAAAAGTTTCAATACAAGACAAATGGTGTTACTCAGGTATGAAATTCCTTTTGGTTATTTTTCTTTCACTTTTTTCTGTGCGTAATTTTTGCTCATACTTTTATGCATGCCAATTGTATATGAATACCAAAACCTTTACTATCATTACATTCTTTGCTACACCATTTTGAATATGATGAGGCTAACTCTCGCTTAGTTGTATTTATTTTTGGCACGCTTCATTGCTTTTTTGAGTGGTTTTTGTTTTATCTACTTTATTATGGGATAATCACCAATATTTCATCTAAGTTTTAGGATTATATTTTATTTGAAGCTTGTTTTTCATGGTGGTCAGTGAGGTTTGAGTTGCTGGGCTGCAAAAC